AATAATAATAGAAGAAGAAGAAGAAGAAGAAGAAGAAGAAGAAGAAGAAGAAGAAGTTGCAGATCTCAGAAATATCACCATCAGAGCTACAGAAAAAGGCAATATTAGGAACAGCATACATACTGTGCTGATATTTAGCAGATAGGTTTTTGGTTAAAACTTGTCTCTGTTACATAATACCAGTCAATGTTTTTATAGTTTTGATTGACCATGTCTGGTATTTTTACTAGTACTAGTACTAGTACTACCACCACCACCACCACCACCACCATTTTAGAACTGCAAAGCTGGAAGGGACCCTGTGGATCATCTAGTCCAGCCCCTGTCAAGGAGGCTTGGCAGGGAATTAAATTCCCACTCACTAGTTCTGCAGTCAGATACCCCAACCACTGAGCTATCCAGCAGTTCTTAATCTATTGTAATAGTCAAGTCATATTGGAAAATTAGCATTTGAAGCAATACATTTGAATCTGGAAGTTCATCTCCTTTTGTTATTTATGTTTAACTGAAATGTTTTTTCTCATCACACAACTGATGATACAAGAAGATATTTAAAAACCAACAACACAGCCATTTCTCACTGTTCTTCCCCCCATTTCTTTTCAATTGCTGATGTATTAAATGTGTTAATGACATATTAAAAGCCTTTCCATTTGTTTCTTTCATGTTTACTGATTTGCCTTCTGTGGTATTATCTCACTAGGAGACCACATAAGTGTAGTTATTATATTGTGGGCTTGGGTTTTGTGAAATCCAGCCTCAAGTCTTTGCCAAGTCAGGAAAGCCAGCCTACCTCACAGGACTGCCGTGAAGATAAAGTGAGGAGAAAGTAAAGCGTATACACCCAATCTCATGAAAAGGACAAAAGCAGTTCCCACAGCTATAAATACTCAGTTATGCAACTGCAACAGAGCACAGACAGAGTTCCGACTCCTTTCCTCCGAAGATGCCGGCCACAGAGACTGGCAAAACGTTAGGAAGAACAACCTTCAGAACATGGCCGAAGAGCCCGAAAAACCCACATCAACCAATACAAAGAGTTATTTTTTAAACATTGTCATAGGCAACAAAAATGGGTTGCTTTTCAAACAGTCCACTGAGTATTGAGAACCGTTTACATGTAACTTTCAAAGCTCTGGGCAGAAATGTAGCTAACAAATAATACTATACTGGGGAAAATGAATGGGGAAATAACAATAAAATAAGGAATTTAGAAGGAAAGGAAATGAAGGGGAGTAAAAAAAAATCCCCAGCATGAATCATGGTGATGGTTCAGAAGAGTGGGCAGAAAAGAAAGGGAAGGATCGTGTTCTCTAATCTCTTCTACACATAAAGTTGCAGAATGTTCTGCCATTTCATCTTCTTTCGAATTTAAGCAGATGTTGCAGCTTTATTTAGTATGTTTCAGGAAGAAGGAAGCTCCATAGGGGTTTATTGTGCATCAGCCTTCTTGTTTGGATACTGTTGGCTGCTGCAAGGCTTATGCATTTTAATAAATACTGTAAAAAGGAAAAATACCTACATCCAGATCATCCGTGGTCATTTGACTAGACGAAAATGTGTGTGTCTGTGTGTACCTACAGAAAGAGAGAGAGAAAGCCTGAGGGAGCCATAGGCTCTTATTCTGAAGTTCTACAAACATAATAAAATATCATGAACAGATTTAAAAAATCTGTAAAAACAGAAAACTATTGATTGTGTTTGGTTTCTATAATGGGCAACTTCTTTGGTTTTGCTTTGCATCCTGGAAAATAATAAAACACTATATTTTAGGTAGAGAGTTGCTAGAATATTTCTTAAATCTCTTTCTCTGACACACACTCACACACAAGTTCACTTAAATTCACACTCACACACACCTTGCACTACTTCTGGTGATAAATATATTCTTCTCAGCTTCTGCAGTTTTCTTGGCCTTTTGTTTCTTTCTTGTGGTGCTGCCTGATATTTCTTTCTGTTTTTCTTCTCTGTATGGGGTGAGAGTAACAACAGCAAAATTTCTGAGTTAGCAGTTTGGCCACCATTTTGTAACCTGGCAAATACGCAGGGAAATTATATTCTGTGGCATTGTGAGGGGAAAACGGCAACCACTGCCAAACAAAAATAGTCTGACAATATTATTTAAATATTTGATTAAATATTTCCTAATTTGAATTGTGGTGCTGGAGGAGACTCTTGAGAGTCCCCTGGACTGCAAGGAGAAGAAACCTATCCATTTTGAAAATGGAAATCAACCCTGAGTGCTCACTAGAAGGACAGATCCTGAAGCTGAGGCTCCAATACTATGGCCATCTTATGAGAAGAGAAGACCCTGATGTTGGGAAAGTGTGAAGGCAGGAGGAGAAGGGGACGACAGAGGATGAGATGGCTGCACAGTGTCATCGAAAGGACAACTTGATTTTGACCCAACCCCGGGAGGCAGTGTTAGACAGGAGGCCTGGCGTGCTCTGGTCCATGGGGTCACAAAGAGTCGGACACGACTTAACGACTAAAGAACAACAACAATTTAAGGATGAGGGCTGCAAACAAAGAAAGAGTCTTCCAATAAATTTTATCCAGGTGGTCTCACACAGGCCAAGAGGCTCCCTTAAGGGATGGTTTGGTATTAGATGGTAACCCAGCATCCTCTAACCATGCTGTGATGCCACACTATACCTGTTGATTAGTTAATTAGTTAATTGGGAAAGATCAACTGGGACTGATTATCTGTCATACCTATAAATTCCATCCTTCCTATTCACCTTGCTATTTTTAAGTGTTGCATTCTCATCAACAAATTATAGGTAACTAACTAACAGGTTGCAAGCTATGGGAAACTGGTTGTGCTGATAAGCAAAACTAATTTGATTCAGAACTGGTTCTCTCCACACAGGGAATTATGCAAACTGTTACCACATCACCACAGGAACCATAACTGGAATTGTTGTTGGAGATATTGTCCTCACTGTGCTCCTCCTGATTCCCGTCTATTACTGCATCCGTCCGAAAGACAGCAGAACAAGTAAGTCAGGTATTCTTGAGGGGTTGGTCTCCTCTCCATAGCAAAATCAAAGAATAAATGATGGGATGTGGAGAATAGAGTGTACAGGGCCGGCCCTCTTATTAAGCAGAATGAGGCAGTTGCCTGAGGTGGTACATTTTGAGGAAGGGGGATGTCAGATCAGATAAACCAATGGCTGAACCAATGGCTCAACCCTCCCTACAAAACTTTATAGACCAATAAGGAAAAATCAGAGCTGGCATTTATCCCCCAAAGAAGGGTGAATTCCAGAATAAATCCAAACAGTTATTGACAATCCCCTGAGTATCAAGATACACATCTTTTCACTTTTACAATAATTCTGAGCAAAATCAGCTTGTCTAATTCTACAGACTTTATTTACCTATGTAGCTTCTGTGTCCCATCATCAAAAAACACTTCAAAAAGCAGCAAGTTAACATGTATTGAAAGTATCCTTACAGTTATGAAAACTGTAGGCACAAATAAGCATAAATCACCATCCAAAAGTTTTGCAATTATGAAAAGCTGAAAAAAAAGATAATCAAATTATAAAACTGAAGTTGTAGGTTGAAATTAAATCATATTCGAATCCAAAATTAAAGGAGCCTATAGCCTAAAAGAGGCACACAGAAAAGCAAAATTCAGAGAACACATCACTTAAAATATCAAAGTTGTTAAAAATAATATATAAATGCATTTCTTAGCCTTTATGCATATTAAAAAGACACACACAGAAAATCACCCAGAGTGCTCGCCCAGCCAGAACAGCCTTGTGCCAGTTTGCATCTATGGAGGAAAATCTATAGTGACTGTTGTTGGTTTCTGGTATGTTTGTGTGGTGTAGGATGAAGCAATTTGTGTTGAATGTTGAATGCCTGTATGTGCATCTTATCTCCCTATACTGATAATTCTTTCAGATGTCCAAGCCTCCCACCCCCACCCCCAAAATTGTAAACAACCTCTTTCTCCAGGGGCCTGGAGATCAAGGGGGCTTGAGTTGGACGATTTTTTTTTTAAATGGGAATCTTGGTTGTTGCACCTGTTACATAACATCTGGCAAGCTACCCCTATGCTGATAGCATTATTGGTCGAACTAACACTTTTTCCAGAGCCTAGAACAGTGCTTCCCAACCTTGTTGTCGGACTGCAACTTTCAGAATCCCTGGCTAGCACAGCTGGTGAGGCTTGGAGCCACTGCGCCAGAGGGGAATAAGACTCTGTAGCATAAAACATTTGATACACTAGGATACTGTTACCCTAAAATTCTGAATTATTGGCTATTGTGAACACAAAACATTGTAATCAAAGATGGAGTCCACTATAAGACTCACAATGCTGCTTCATATTTACTTATTGTAACATGAACAAATTTATTAGAACATAAACATTTCAGCTGTCAGGGCTGGTTTGTTTAGTGTCCTTGCTTAGCTGGAATGTCTGCTACTTGTTTTGAAATGACTTAGTAAACTGCTACTCTTTTTGTAAGACTAAACATTCCCAGCTCCCTAAGCCACTCCGCATAGGACATGGCTTCCAGACCTTTGACCATTGTGGTTACCCTCCTTTGGACACATTCAAGGTTGTCAACATCCTTCTTGAATTGAGGTGCCCAGAACTGGACACATTGCTCCAGGTGAGGTCTGACCAAATCAGAATAGAGTGGTACTATCACTTCCCTTGATCTAGACACTATACTCCTATTGATGCAACGAAGAATTGCATTGGCTTTCTTGGCAGCCGCATCACACTGCTGACTCGTGTTCAGTTTGTGGTCTACCAAGACTCCTAGTTCCCTTTCACAGGTACTGTTGCCTAGCCAGGTGTCTTCCATCCTATATCTGTGCAGTTCGTTTTTTCTGCCTAGGTGTAGGACCTTACATTGAATCCTGCTGAAATTCATTTTGTTAGTTTTGTCCCAGGACTCTAATCTGTCAAGGTCATTTTGAATTTTAATCCTGCCCTCTGGGGAATTAGCAACCCCTCCCAATTTGGTATCATCTGCAAATTTAATCAGCATACAGTCTCTATTCGTTCATCCAAGTCATTGATAAAGATGTTGAATAGCACAAGGCCCAGAACAGAACCCTGAGGCACCCCACTAGTTACCTGAAGAGAAGCCATTGTTGAGCGCCCTTTGGGTTTTAACAGTTTATACACATAAAATTTCAAAACTTGACTGCGAGTGGCATCCAGATGTTCAAGGGAAGTGCCTCTCAATTATCAACTGCCTTTGCTGTACTGAAGGAGATTGTACTGAAGGAGATTGTCCCACCACAACTGTTTAACTTAGACCCAAATGTCCATTTTCTAGCGTTGTCAGTCTCTAGTATATGGAATGGGAGTGGGTGCCAACTTGCCCATCACCCCCGGGCAAAAGAATGGCTTGAGTTGATTCAGGGTGTGAAATCAATAAGGCGGAATTTGGAAATAATGGCAACATCACTGACTGTGTATTGATGGCTTACCTTTCTTCTAATCAATGGAAGAGGGAGTCCTCCCCCAATTTTATCTTTATTATAAGGTAGGTCAAGCTGAGATTTTAGATAGACAGACAGACAGACAGACAGACAGACAGACAGACAGACAGACAGACAGACAGACAGACAGACAGATAGATAGATAGATAGATAGATAGACAGATAGATAGAAAGATAGATAGATAGATAGATAGATAGATAGATAGATAGATAGATAGATAGATAGATAGATAGATAGATAGATAGATAGATCGATCGATCGATCGATCGATCGATCGATCGATCGATCGATCGATAGTAGATAGATAGATAGTAGATAGATAGATAGATAGATAGATAGATAGATAAAGGGTTATAAATTATAACCCTATATTTTATAGGGTTATAAAATATAACCCTCCCAGGGAGTGGAAAATAAACTGCAGTTACACTGCTGGCCTGCAAAATGTTTGGTCTTGACTGTGCATCATATGATTGGTGGGAAAAAACCAATAATTTAACTGGGGGATAACTCAAGAATATTTTCCTCCTGTGACCAGGGCCTAAAATAAATAAAGGGTAACGGTAAAACTGTTGATTGTAAAGGACTGAGAGAGGGAAAGAGAGGAAAGAATTTTTAGTTGGGATTAAAAAAAGAACTTTAGAACAACTTCCATTTATATAAAGATCAAAGCAGGGCCGAAAGCGGATGGGGGAAGGTGTCAACTCATAGGTAAGACTTTTCCACCTTCATCGTGGTCAGGATTTTAGTGTAATGATCTAATGCAAATTTAAATGCCAATTTGAACTCTTTTCATCATAAAAGCAATTTGATTTGATTTGAGAGCTTATTTAAAATAAAATGAACATTCCAGTCTCTGGGTAGGTAGGTAAACCCAAAAGATGAGGCCTATCACTTTTCAAATAACATAAGAACACAAGAAGAGCCCTGCTGGATCAGACCAAGGGCCCATCTAGTCCAGCTTCCCGTATCTCAGAGTGGCCCCACCAGATGCCTCTGGGAGCACATGAGACCACGAGATCCCTGTCTCCTGATACCCCTCCCCTGCATCTGGCATTTTAAACCTGGAGATTATACATCCCCATCATGGTTTGTAACATGAGATGGACTCCAGGAATCTCTCCAATCCCCCTTTTAAAGGCATCTAAGACAGATGTCATCACCACATCCTGTGGCAAGGAGTTCCACGGGCTAAGAACATGCTGGATAAAGAAATGCTTGAAAGACTGTTATATAGAAGAGGGGCAGGATCTGTTCTCAATCATCCCTGAGTGCAGGACATGAAACAATGGACTCAAGTGACAGGAAGCTAGGTTTTGGTTGAATATCAGGAAAAGCTCCCTAACTGTTAGAGCAGTATCACAATGGAACCAGTTACCTTGAGAGGTGATGAGTGCTCCAGCACTGGAGGCAGTCAAGAGAAACTTAGACAACCACTTGGCAGATATCCTTTGATCTGTATTCCTGCATCGAGCTGGGAGTTGGACTCAATGGCCTCATAGGCCCCCTTCCAACTTCATGATTCTATGATTCTGTGATTCTTTGTGATCGTCCAAAGAGGATGGTGGGATCTGTTAGGCTTCTCCATTGCCATTTTTGAGATGGTTAACCAAGAGGAAGATGCATGAAATGTATTAAAATGGAAATACTGTAGATTATTCTAAGAATTATATATATATATAATAACATATGTTAATTTAAAAACAAACAGATAGGGAGCTAACCATGATATTGTAATGATATTTGTTTGTTTCTCTTTTAAAACAAGAAGTCAAAGACACAATATAAAATGGTATTTGTCTCACTCATAAGTGCTGCTTCACAACTGCCTTCTTTGATCTTCTCACGAACACCAATCTAATTGTCAATTCTTCTTTTTTATAGGTGAAAGAACAGATTATGTAAACATGATCGGAAAATCTATATGACGTCACTTCCCATTTGGATCCGATCTTCAAGATCTATATGAACACGACTGGAATGACCACTGTGTACAAAACAGACAATAGCGTGTATTTATGTGTTTGCAGGTTGAGATATTAGGGGGGAATCCTCCTTGTGGGGGCAACAAATCCCCCATAGCCAAAGATTTTGGTCTTTTATATATTGGAAGTGAATGCTGATGTTTTCCTGTTTTGCAGAGATGGAAACTGGTCCCATAGATCCTTCATTTCTATACCTTACTTGCCTATATCAGTTCCCAGTGTGTAACAGCTACCTAGCAGCTGGCCTGCAAATCCCATCATCCTTGCTCATGCTGACAGGGGATAGTGAGAACAGTAGTCCAGAGACAGCTTTGGGGTGGAGGGAGTCTGTTCTTAAAAGAAATTCCTGGAGCATGATTTGATAGCTGCAGCCTGTGGGCTAAAAATGTGCACTTTAAAAAGCACAGAAAATTGCCACTTTGTTAATTGGAAAACTATGCTTCCGTACATTTGCAAACATGTATATAAAATGCATGGAATTTTTTAAAAGAAATTTGCATGGAAATCTGTACTCATTTCTTGCTTCGACAGCTAATCCTGGTAATGATAATAACAGAAGCAAATCAGATTCAGAGATATGATTGTGCAAACAGAACTGAAAGCTTGACAAATTTCTCCATTCCTGCCTTTCTCTACTGTTGTTGTTGTTGTTTAGTGTTTAGTTATGTCCGACTCTTCAAGACCCCCATGGACCAGAGCATGCCAGGCCCTCCTGTCTTCTTCTACTGTTACTTTCATCTAAATCCTCAAGAGGGCAGTACTGCAAGCATCACTAACTACAGTTGTGTTTGTTGTCAATTGTAAACTTGACATTTCTTCTGTATAGGTGCATTTTGTATGGGGTTAGCCCTTCAGATCTGTGCACATAATGCTGGATTGTGTGGATAATACTCAGCATGTTTGATAGAAAAAGAAATGAACAATGCAAGTTATCTCTGTCTTCTGAAGAGGCCCACATATCTTCAATGCCAGAAATCTAAATTAATGCTTGGGGGGAAAATGCAGATTTATTGCATAAAAAAGCAAAGGGCCCTCTGCTTAAGGATATGAATGATGAAAAGCGGGCTTTGAACTACATTATGGCCACAGGACCTGGCTGAATAGCTTAGGGCCTTAGTCCCGCCTCTAAGGGGCATGGCACCCGTCAAAATCGATTTTGATGAAAGCTAACTACTTATGGGGGCTAGACAATCCCATTTGACAAACCCCATGGAATCTGCTTGCTAGAGTTCTTTTTCTAAAAACAGCCCCGTCTTCAGCACCATGAGGACTAGGAGCTTAAATTGTTTTTAAGGGAGTGTGATTTAATGCTTTGAATGGGAGGTCTTCATTCAGTTCTGCTGTCTCTGCCCAGAAGGTTAGGAAGACTCTGTCCCAGACACCAGGGAGTGAAGGTCAGTCAGCGTAGGAGAGCTGAAGCTCTCTCTGACACCCAGCTTACAGACCACAGACCATCCCTGCAATGTAAGCAGCACTGAGGTGGAGAGATCCTTGTCCTGCTCCTTTTCAAAAATATGTATTATTACATTTATGTCGGATCTTTAATGTGCTGAAGACAGCACGCGTGGGTCCTCCTCATGCCAACCTTGTAAGGGAGGTCAGACTCCAAAAGAAAGCGACTGGCCCAAGATGACACAATAGGTTTGAAGGCCAAGTGAGGGGGATTTGAACCCAGGCCTCCTGAGCCCTAGCTCAGCACTCTAGTGCAGGCTTGTCCAACCCGTGGCCCGTGGGCTGCATGCAGCCCAGTGCAATTTTTAATTTTTTAAGAAATTCCAAAGTTGAATGCGGCCGGGGCACGTCACAACGGTAGGGGGGGAGAGAGAGAAAGAAGGAAGGAAGGAGCAGGAGTGGAGTGGAGTGGAGAGGGCTGTGTGACTGCATTTTGCGCCGTCCCTGTCAATAGGTGGACCCCCTCCCGGCCCCATAAAGCTGCCGGAGTCGAAGCTGGCAGCCTCTGCTGTCTGAGATCGCAGCTGCCAGTAAGTGTGCTTGGAGTGGGGCTGTGGAGGACGGCTAGGGCTGCCCCCCCATGCAAGCACGCATCTCACTTATTCCTTTTGCGGGAGGGGGGAGGAAAACGTTTGACCTCTTTGCAAAACAGGGCAGGGTCCAGGGTTGAGAGGCCGTGGGCGCGGAGCCGCAGAAGCCCCATAGAAGGTGTTTGCAAAACCCCCCCCCTCCCCCCCCCCATTTGTTTGTTTCCTTTTCGCTGGCTTGGATGGCAAATGGCGCTGTTTTAAAAATGTGCAAGCCAGTTTGCCTCCCTCCTTTCCAACCCCCGCGCGGG